GCCCTGGGTTCACTTGAGGCTCCACTTCCAGCAGCTCTGCCCCAGGCTATCTGAGTATCTGTGGGCCAATCTGCTTTGCATCTCTGGGTTTCAGCTTTCTCCTCCTGAAGGAAGGGACGTGTCCTCTACCATCCACCACCCTAGGGCTCCTCCAGCTCAGACCTTCCCCTGAACTGTGTTGTCATGGCACCCATTCATTCGGTGCCTTTACATGTTCTAGGTAGATCTGGGCACATCCTGATCTCTATGATTGAGGTCAGGCCACACCCTCATCCCCGCAGGAACCTCCTTCTTGGGCTGCTTGCATCTCTAGTGTGCTGTCCTGGGTGAGGCTCACGGTTGACAACAAAGAGCATCATCCAGGCACCTCTAGACAGCAGAGGCTGGCAGACTCTGAGGCAGCCACATTGCAAAATGAAACCCCAGGTACAGTGATACACTCTCTGCTCCCTCTTAACTCCTACTATCATATTTTCTTTATCAAGCCTTAAACAGAAGTGGAGTGAAAACATTTTTGTCTTCACTGTCTTCCTGACAGGGCCTTGGGTGACAGACAGCATGCCACCCAGATAATGTTTGCCAGATAAATGCTTCTGGGAAGTAGTTCAGTTGGGTGGTGTGAGTAACTATATCTAAACGTCCTGTTAGCTTCCTGAAAGCAATGCTCCATGCTTCTCTCTCACCCAGACTTAATCTTAATGAAGATGTATTGGAGGCTTTCCTAATGATTATAATAATGATGCACGGCCGGGCATGGTGGCTCACTCCTGTACACCAAGCACTTTGGAGGCCAAGGTGGATGAATCACCTGAGGTCGGGAGTTCAAGACCAGCCTGACCAACATGGTGAAAACCCGTCTTTAAAAAAAATAATAAAAAAAATAATGATGACGCATATTAATGATAAAGTATTTGGAAAATGAAGATTAGCGAAATGAAGGAATGCACCCTCCAACCACACTCCCACTCAACGATAACCACTGCCAGCTTCTGATGCGCCTCCTTCCAGGAAGATACACACGTATATACAGGGATGTGGGGAAAGATAAAAGCTAATTGAATACAGCAACAATATTTTCATATGTAGACATATGTGTTTTTCTTTTATAATTTGAAACTTAAAATTTCTTTTCAAAAATATTTCATTCCATATAAAATTCACTTTATTAAAAATTTATCACCTCAATTCACATTCTAGAGTTATTCATATACAAGATAAATTTTACATAATACATTCTTAATCTAAACACAGACTTTTCTTTTTCAAATTGGGATTCACATTATGTATACTCGTTTAAATTTGCTTTTTTAAAAAAGTTTTTAAACATGTATAAAAATTAAGGCATACTCTACATATTAATGTACAGTTCTTTGACAAACATATATAGTAATATAACTACCACCACAATCACGCTATAGATAATTATCTAAATATGACTGTGGGCCAGTGCAGTGGCTCACACCTGTAATCCCAGCACTTTGGGAGGCTGAGACAGGCAGATCACCTTAGGTCAGAAGTTCAAAACCAGCCTGTCCAACATGGTGAAAACCTGTCTCTATAAAAACATGAAAGTTAGCTGGGTGTGGTGGTGGGTGCCGGTAATCCCAGCTACACTGGAGGCTGAAGCAGGAGACCTGCTGGAACCTGGGAGGTAGAGGCTGCAGTGAGCCCAGATCATGCCAGTGCACTCCAGCCTGGGTAACAGAGCAAGACTCTGTCTCAAAAAAAAAAAAAAAAAAAAAGGCTGTGAATATCACCAAGTTTTCTCTCATTTGGAAGTGCAACAATTTTACCAATCTTGTTTTCTTGGCCATTTAGGTTATTTACCATTTTCATCTTACTGATTTTGCAATCTGGGGGAATGAAATAAATGAATTAAAATGAATGAATGAGGGCCATGCGAGGTGGCTCATGCCTGTAATCCAGCACTTTGGGAGGCTGAGGTGGGTGGATTGCTTGAGCTCAGGAGTTTGAGACCATCCTGGGCAACATGGTGAAACCCAGTTTCTACCAAAAGTAGGAAATAATTAGCCAGACATGGTGATTTATGGCAGGGGGGTGGGGGGTGGGGGGGCTGCTGAGATGAGAGGATTGACTGGGCCTGGGCGGTAGAGGCTGCAGTGAACCATGTTCGAACCACTATAGTCCAGCCTAGGTGACTGAGACTCTGTCTAAAAAAAAAAAAAAAAAAAAAAAAAGAGAGAGAGAAAGAAAGAAGGAAGGAGGGAGGGAGGGGAAAGGAAAGGAAAAGAATGGAAAGGAAAGGAATTTGGAATTCTCATTTTCCTGTAGCTATACCAAAGGGGTGTCTCCCTTCTCTGCTGGAAAAATCTCACATCATTCAAGACCGATTTTGGATACTGCCTCCTCTATGAAGCCCCCATGATGCCAGCTGGAGAGAGGGTTCCTCCCTTCCGTGATACCACAGCAGCAAGTCATACACTGTTTATGTGACAGACGTTGCCATAGTCTGTTTCTCTTCTCTCCTCCAGACTATGAACTCGGACTTCAAGTGATGTCTTAGCTTTGTGTTCCCAAAGCCTAAGCCATGTTTGGCTCATGCACACTCCACAGATGCTCGCGAAATGAATGTTCTGCCCTGCTGAACTAAATTCTGATCTTGTGCCGAATTCTTAGGAAACAGACACTTCGTGAGCATGGTGCAAACATAAGCTGGATACATTAAGCAGGTACCCCTAAGGAGAGCTGGGAATTTGCTGGTTTCAAACAGTGGTTCAGGAGAACTTGGGAGTTGTGAGAATTGCTGGTGTGTGGAGAGGTACAGGGTACTTGCAGAACGTGTCATCTAAGTGATCATCTTTACAGTTTCATTTTTTATTTTTGAGATGAGGTCTCACTTTGTCATCTAGGCCAGAGTGCAGTGGCACAATCTCAGCTCACTGCAGCCTCCACCTCTCAGGCTCAAGTGATCCTTCCACCTCAGCCTTGGCTCACCACGCTGGACTAAGTTTTAATTTTTTTTTTGAGACGGAGTTTCGCTCTTGTTACCCAGGCTGGAGTGCAATGCGATCTCGGCTCACCGCAACCTCCGCCTCCTGGGTTCAGGCAATTCTGCCTCAGCCTCCCGAGTAGCTGGGATTACAGGCACGCGCCACCATGCCCAGCTAATTTTTTGTATTTTTAGTAGAGGCGGGGTTTCACCATGTTGACCGGGATGGTCTCGATCTCTCGACCTCGTGATCCACCCGTCTCGGCCTCCCAAAGTGCTGGGATTACACCCTTGAGCCACCGCGCCCGGCCAAGTTTTAATTTTTTTGTATAGACACAGGCTTCCCTGTATTGCCCAGGCTCAAGCAATCCTCCAAGTTGGCCTCCCAAAGTGCTGGGATTACCAGACGTGAGCCACTGCACCTTGCCTCAGGCTGGAGTTCCAGGGAAAGATCTTGGCTCACTGCAACCTCAGCCTCCCAGGTTCGAGTGATTCTTCCACCTCACCCTCCTGAGTAGCTGGGATTACAGATGCCCACCACCACACCTGGCTAATTTTTTTGTATTTTTCGTAGGGATGGGGCTTCACCATGTTGGCCAGGCTGGTTTTTGTAGGGTTGGTGCTTCACCATGTTGACCTTGTGATCCACCAGCCTAGGCCTCCCAAAGTGCTGGGATTACAGGCGTGAGCCACTGCACCTGGCCTCACCTGGCCATTAACGTGTTTAAAATAGCAAGAAACTAGGGGCAAAAAGCACAAATTCATGTTTACATGTAGTCAGTCAATAAATATTTATCGAATGAATGAATAAATTAATGGCAGGTGTACCAGACCCTGGTAGGTGAGAAAGTTAGTCGGAGGTAGTGCTTGTTCTCCGTGCGTTCACAAGGTGGAATCAGGGAATTCACCTTGGACGGGCTCACGTTTCCCTCTCCTAGCCCCTATGCAGCCTGTTCTCAGACTTGATTCGTTCTGAGGGGCTCTTGGCTGCCTCACACCAACAGCAGTGGTCAGTGGAGACCGGCGATGGTCTCCTGACATGTTGGTTTGTGAAGACCAGCGCTCGAGTCAAATTCTGGGAAGATCGGGAGAGCATCCGCTTTAATTTACTAAATTTATTAGCGGCGTCTCTATTCATCTCCGTGTCTGCAACATCCAGCACAGGACCTGGCCCATGGTAGGTGTTTAAAAATGCTTGCGGAAAAGATCAAATGACCAAGCCTCGTGCAGTGCTGCCCGTCAGCTTCTCAACCAGTCGCTCTTTACATCTGATTGATATCTTAAAGCAGCCTGGCAGGTAGGTCTCCATCATTTTCCCATCCCACATCGGAGGCGCTGAAGCCCAGGCGTGTTTCCCGAGTCGCCCGGACCCACCGGGCCCTCGCTGCAGTGTGAAACCACAGCGGCAAAGTCTGCCCGCTGGACGCTGCGCCGGGGCGTCCCCAGGTGCGGCAGGCAGCGCTCAGTAAGTGGGTCCTGGAGGGAAGCGCGTCCTTCTGAACCCAGATCAGGCCCGGGGAGACTCTGGGAGCGACGCGGAGGGCGCAGTCGGGGCCCCAGGCGGTGGCTGAAGCCTTGGCTCGCTCTGCCGCAAGATGGGAATCCAGAGCCTCCAGCTCGGGAGGGACCTGACGTGCCGGACTGGTCCGGCTCAGAACCCGAGGCGCGGCGGACTGACGCTCGGCAGAGGCCTCCGCTGTACCTGCAGCTGTGGGAGGAGACTGGGGACCCCGCGAGCACCTGAGCTCCCACCTGTGGCTCATCCCGGGGACGCCGCCCCCAACCTGGGCGTGGAATGGAAGGGCGGGGCTCCGTCACGTTCAGCCAATCAGCGCCCTGAAGCCGCCGGCCGCCCCCTCCTGAGGAGACGGCACTTGCGCACTCGGGCCGCAGAGCTCCTCGGGCCCCGCCCCCGGGGCAGTGCTGACGCTCGCGCCGACGCGCCCGACGTCGGGCACGTTGACGCCGGCGCCGCGCAGCCGGGCCCGCTCCTCCTCCGCTCCGCCAGTGTCCGGCCGCGGGCCGGCCTTAGTGACTGGGGCGGCGGGCCCCGGGGCCGCGGCGTGGGGCGGGCAGGCTGACGCCGGCCGCGGGCTGCCTTCGTCTGTTCTCAAGCTCGCCTGGAGCGAGCAGCCGCCCGCGAGCCGCCGCAGAGCCTCCTCGTCCGCTCCCGCCGGCGAGCAAGGTAAGGGAGCGGGACACTGAGGCAGACCCGGGGCCCAGGCGTTCCCGGCGGGTCCCGATCCCCGCGGCGGCCGCGCAGCCGATTGGATGTCTTGGCGGGGAAGGGTGCGCTCCGGGGCGGGCGGGGGCGAGGCGGTAGGGGAGCTCCGGCGGGACCCCCGCGCCCCGAGGGACGGCTCCGGGGGCTGCGTGACGCCCCTGCCCGAGCCCCGCGCCCCGTGACCCTGGCGCTGGGGCGAGGGGCGGGGACCTGCGGCCGCTGAAAGCCCCGGCCCGGGCGGGCTCTGCTGTCAACGGTCCTCACCCCCGGGGTCCTGGGCTCCCGCCGCATCTGCTACAGGAGGGGAAGGAGTGCGGGCGCGAGCAGGCTGGAGGTAACCATCCGCATCAGGTGCGCGGTCTTGGGCATCCTCCTCTCGGGGGTCCACCGCACCCCGAATACTTGCCTTAAGGCTCAGAAGCGACTTCCCGTTCCCCTCCCGCCGTCTTTAGATTCCAGACACTTAATAGTCTCTCATAATCTCACCTTTCACTTTTCCTTCTTTCCTAGCCGCCCCGGGCTGTATCGACCTGCTATATTTCCATTGTGGAATTTTTTTTTTTTTTTTTTCCGGTTGTAAACTTACGTAAGTTAGGTTGACTGACCAACCGTTGCAGCCGTTGAAAAACACTTCTACCAGCGTGTAACGAATTCAGTTCTTTTTAGTGCTCACCGAATCCAGCCCAAGAATTCAGGGAGCCGGCCGTTCTTCCCGGGAGCTGACCGCACACATTCCTGCAAGATGCCTGATGGATTTTGTACTTGTCAGTTTTGTTGGCTGTGTGCTCCTTCTGTGCTTTTCCTGAAAAATGATTGGGTGACATGTGTTTTGACTTTCTCTCCCCCCACTGGGAAGTAGAAAAAACAGGTAACAGAAGCACACTTGTTTTCCACGAAAACGTACAGCTTTGCTAAAAGACCACCCCAGGGTTTGCCTTTTTTGTTGTTGCTGTTAGGGCAGTCCTCTGGGATCCTGACTCCCTCCCTGGGTTTTTGTCCGTGTTGATGTCTTCATGTCGTGTATTTCTGCACTTAATATTTGCCCCGTGTGTGTATGTTCTCAGCTTCTTTACATACAAAGCATACCAGTTCTGAGAATAATGCGGCTGCCCATCTTTTTAGCCACAGATACTGTGGGAACCTGTATTCGCACTTAGTGACCGTAGCTTGGGGCCTTGATTTCCAGATGATGTGCGAGGTGATGCCGACCATCAGCGAAGCAGAAGGTCCCCCTGGAGGAAGCGGAAGCCATGGGTCTGGCTCCCCTTCACAGCCGGACACAGATTCACATTTCGAACAGTTGATGGTCTCCATGCTAGAAGAAAGGGACCGTCTTCTTGACACACTGAGAGAGACTCAAGAAACGCTGGCATTAACCCAGGGGAAGTTACACGAGGTTGGTCATGAAAGAGATTCCTTGCAGAGACAGCTCAACACGGCACTTCCGCAGGTATGAGTGCTTTTAACCTGGAACTCTATAGATGCTTTGTTAATGTTTCAGATGAGCATTTTCCGTAACCATTTGTGAAATGATGGTTTCTGGTGTTTGTAAGTCAAATACAAAGTTCCTAGGGATTAAACCTCTTAGGGAGAACAAACTGTTGTACTCTAAAGTCCTGTGAAAAGACCTCATTATTTTCATTCCTGTCTTTGGGAACTGCCTGGGTTCAGGAAGTTCGTTCTCCAGAGTTGTTGAAAAACGGCTCTGAAGCCGCAATCTATACGGTGCCTCTGTTCTGTTGTCTTAGCCTTTTCTTCCTAGACTTGTTCTTCCCACGGATTGTGTCTCTCATGTATTTCCAATTTCCTAATGAAATTTCATGGACAAATAGGATTGATTTCACAGAAAAAAATATTTTGATAGCCCACCTTTTTCAGAACACCTAGGTTTTTGTAAGTCACATTTGTTTTAGGGGATAGAAGACTGGAAATTGATTCCCTTAGAAACTTTTTCCTTGGCAGATGAGAATTTTAAAGCTTAGGCCGAATGTGGTGGCTCATGTCTGTAATCCCAGCACTCTGGGAGACCGAAGCAGGTGGATCACCTGAAATCAGGAGTTCGAGACCAGCCTGGCCTGCATGGCAAAACCAAAAACACAAAAATTAGTGGAGCATGATGGCACACACCTGTAGTCCCAGCTATTCTCGAGCTGAGGCATGAGAATTACTTGAACCCGGGAGGAGGAGGTTGCAGTGAGCCAAGATTGCACCACTGCTTTCCAACCTGGGTGACAGAGCTAGACACTGTTTCACTGTCTCAAAAAAAAAAAAAAAAAAAAAGGTTTTTAAAGCTTAGAACAACTGAAATTGTTTCTCTGAGTATATAACATTTGGACCAGTGTTTGAAAGACTTTGCTCATGGAGTTGAATGAGGATGAATTAGTGGTAGGTAAACGGAGGAGGGGTAAAAACTAGAAAAGTGTGAGGTGAGTGGCGCGGAGCACAGTAGGAGAGAAGTGGGTTACTTAGGTGGTTCAGAGCCCTCTAGGTGCCATGTCACTTACCACAGGTGCCTTCGCGGTGCCTTCAGGTAGACCTGCGTAATCATAGGCTTATACTCGCATGATGGTCTGCAGTGATACATTCACAAATGAGTAAACTAGCCTTGACGTACTTCTGGGCTGTAGTCAGTTCTCCTGACAGATTGATGAGCCCAACGTGCATTTCCTTTTTAGCAACAGTAATTTGATGTTAGCACTATGTGTTCCTTTTTGTTGGGTTAGAGAAATATTAAGATTTTTCTCATTTCAATTTTAGAGACTACCAAGTTTATTTAGGTCACATTTTATTACTACAAGTTGAAAATAATTAGCCTATTTATGTTTTACCAGGATTTTGTTTTATTTGTAATTTAAGGTACATGTATTGAAGTGTATATCAAATACTAATGTGATGAATAAGGTGGGTTTGGGAAAGAATGGGCACATGTCAGGGAAGTGACAGGAGCTTTGTACAGTTAGTCTCAGGCTGCAGAGGTTGTCACACTGGTGACAGGGTTGCTCAGTGATTTGTTTCTGGTACTGCTCAGTGTAGTAGCCTGGAAGTGCCTAGTTCTGCGGATAATGCGACGATGCCAGTGGTTCACGTCACCACCTGAGCACCTGATTCCAGGCTTTCAAAGATGGAAACTATTAAGTCAACTTGTTTTGGACCCTTCCCTGTCCTGGAATCTGGTTCATCTTTAGCAGCTGGTGGTGTGACCAGATAATGAGTCCAGTAAGTGCATTTGTGCTCTTGGCACATTGTGGAGGCAAGTCAGAGTGTACTTAACAATACATAAAACTGTAGCATACAGCAGAAAAGTTCATAGATCATGAGTATACATCTCAGTGGACTTTTCACAGAGTTAACACACTTGCATAACTGCCACCCAGAACATGACCAGGCTTCCTGGAAGTCCCCTCCTAACTATTCCCAGTAATTGCCCTCCGAAGCTAACCCTGATCTTCTGCCATTGATTACTCTTGCCTGTTCTTGGCTTTAAGTGAAGTAAAATAATATATATGTTTTGTTTATTCACTCTGTCACCAGTATCATGTTTGTGAGATTAAGCTGTATTTTCTCTTTTTTCTTTTTTTTTGAGACAAAGTCTCGCTCTTGCCTAGGCTGGAGTGCAATGGCCCAATCTCTGCTCACTGCAACCACTGATTCCCGGGTTCAAGCAATTCTCCTGCCCCAGCCTCCTGAGTGGCTGGGATTACAGGCACGCACCACAATGCCTGGCTAATTTTTGTATTTTTAGTAGAGACGGTTTTCACCATTTTGGTCAGGCTGGTCTTGATCTCCTGACCTCATGATCCACCCACCTCGGCCTCCCAAAGTGCTGGGATTACAGGTGTGAGCCACCACGCCCGGCCAAAGATTTAGCTGTATTCTCATACAGCCATGCTCATTCTCACCTGCTCTCTGGTAATCCAGTGCACAAATAGACCAGAATGTATCCTTCCTATTGGTCACAAACATTTGGGATTGTCTCCAGTTTTTACAAATGCTCCTCTAATATTTGTTTTTTCAGTGCACATATGTGTAAACTTCTTTTTTTTCTTTTTGAGATAGAGTCTCACTTTTTTGCCCTGGCTGGAGTGCAGTGACATGATCTCTTGACTCACTGTAGCCTCAACCTCCTGGGTTCAAGCGATTCTCCTGCCTCAGCCCCCGCCAAGTAACTGGGAATAGAGGCACGTACCACCACCCTCTGTTGATTTTTGTATTTTTTGTAGAGATGTGGTTTTACCATGTTGCCCAGGCTGGAGGATATGTATAAACTTCCGTTGGTTTTCTAGAAAGGTGTGGGATGCAGAAATGATGGTGTGTGCATTTGCTCAGCCTCAGGAGATAATGCCAAAAGTGTTGGTTGTGACAGTTTGTATTACCGCAGCAATGTATGAGAAGTCAGCTGTTCATATGCTGTTCAGCACTTGGTATTGTTGGGTCTTTTAGTTTTAGCTGTTGTGGTGGCTGTTGAGTGGTAGGTGGCTCAGTACGCTCTGACTTTGCTGCTCCCTGATGGTCAGGAGCGTGCAGAGGTAAAACGTCTCTGTGAGGGTTCACTGGCCGCCTGGATGTCTTTTGTGAAAGGGTTATCTTTTGGCCATTTGTCACTTGGGTTGTCTGTGTTGTTTCTTACTGATTTGCAGTTTGCAGGAGTTTTTCTGTGTTCTGAGTACATACGTGCATGACGGATTGTTTTTAGACTCTTGCGTTGCCTTTTCATGCTCTCAGTGTAATCTTTTGATGCACAGAAGTTTTAAATTTTTAATGTAGCCCAGTTGATCAATCTTTTCAGTAATGTTTAATGCCCTTTGTTAAGAAATCGGCTAGGTCAAGTTCATTAAGATAACCTACACTGTCTTCTGAAAACTTAATTTTTTTATCTTCTATCTGAAATTAACTTTGTTTATGGTATGCAATGGGGTCAAAAGTCTCTCTCTTTTTTTTTAAAGTGGATGTCTAGTTGACCCTGCCTAATTTCTTAAAAAGATCATTCTTTCCCCCGTGTACTACATGCAGTGTCATCTCTGTCATCTTATACCAGTGACTGTAGGGTCTGTTCTTCTACCCCATTGATCTTGTTGTCATCTTTGCACAAATAGTTACCGTAGATCTAGTTCATCTTGAGATCTGGTAATTTAAATGCTCTGTCTTTATTCTTCAAGATCTCCTTAGCTAAACTTGGCCTTTTGCATTTTCAGATATTTTTAGAATCCACTTGGCAATGTTTCCTACAAAAATGTACAACAGGGATTTTAATTGGAATCGGATTTAATCTATAGGCTAGTATGGGAGAAATGATATCTTTTTAATATTGATCTTCTATTGACACAAAATAGCCATCTTTTTAAATTTAGATCTTTAATTTGTCTTAATATTTTATAGCTTTCTGTTTGTAAGTCTTTTTTTTTGAGATGGAGTCTTGCTTTGTCACCCAGGCTGGAGTGCAGTGGCATGATCTTGGCTCACTGCAGCCTCCACCTCCTGGGTTCAGGTGATTCTCCTGCCTCAGCCTCTCGAATACCTGGGATTCCAGGTGCTCCCTCCCCCAGCCCAGCTAATTTTGTATTTTTAGTAGAGAGGGGGTTTCACCATGTTGGTCAGGCTGTTCTTGAACTTCTGACCTCAGGCAATCAACCTGCTTCAGCTTCCCAAAGTGCTGGGATTCTAGGCATGAGCCACTGCACTTGGCCTGTATGTAGGTCTTATACATCTTTTTTTTTTTTTTTAAGGCAGAGTTGCCCAGGCTGAAGTGTTGCCCAGGCTGCTCACTGTTGCCCAGGCTGAAGTGCAGTGGTGTGATCTCAGCTCACTGCGCCCTCCATCTCCTGGGTTTAGGTGACCCTTCTGCCTCAGCCTGCCGACTAGCTGGGACTACAGGTGTGCATCACCACATCTGACTAATTTTTTTGGTATTTTTTGATAGAGACATCATGTTGCCCAATCTGGTCTTGAACTCTTGGACTCAAGCGATTTGCCCGCCCTGGCCTCCCAAAGTGCTAGAGGCTGGGCGAGGTAGCTCATACCTATAATCCCAGCACTTTGGAAGGCTGAGGCGAGCAGATCACTTGAGATCAGGAGTTCAAGACCAGCCTGGCCGATACGGTGAAACCCGTTTCTACTAAAAATACCAAAAAAGAAAAAAAAATTAGCTGGGCGTGGTGGTGAGCACCTGTAGTCCCAGCTACTCAGAAAGTTGGAGGCAGGAGAATCGCTTGAACCCGAGAGGCGGAGGTTGCAGTGAGCTGAGATCGTGCCACTGCACTCCAGCCTGGACGGTGTGAGGCTCTGTTTCGAAAAAAAAAAAAAAAAAGAAAAAAGAAAAGAATCAAGTGGTGCAAAATCCTCAGCAATGTAACTCCAGTGTCCTGGCTAACGGGGAGAAGGGGAGGTCTCGGAAGACTCACAGATTTCCCAAGAAATTTGGGTAACAGAGTGCTGGGATTACAGGTGTGAGCC